CGGTGGATTGGATGGCAAAATTTTGGCCATTGAGGACGATTGGACCAACCATACCATCCATGTACCTGAATAAGGGTCATGAAGAAGACAAGGAATATGGTCTCAGCCTCCTAAAGCCAAACAGTGATGCCTGCATGAAATGGTTAAATGCAAAGCCAAAAGGGTCTGTAGCATATATGTGTCGTTCGGCAGTGTGGCAAAACTCGGAGAAGAGAAAGTGGAGGAACTTTGTTTGGGTTTGAGGAGAAGCAAATGCTATTTCTTGTGGGTGGTGAGAGCATCAGAATCAGCTAAGCTGCCAAAAGGGTTTGCAGAGGAGACATCTGAAAAGGGTTTGGTGGTTTCATGGTGCCCTCAATTGGAAGTGTTGGCACATGAGGCTGTAGGATGCTTCGTCACACATTGTGGTTGGAACTCTACTTTGGAGGCCTTGAGTTTAGGAGTTCCAATGGTGGCAGTGCCACAGTGGGTTGACCAGAGCACCAATGCCAAGTTCATCATGGATGTGTGGAAAATAGGGCTTAAAGCTCAAGCTGATGAGAAAGGGATAGTGAGAGGAGAAGAAATTGCACATTGTGTGACAGAAATATTGGAGGGGGAGAGAGGGAAGGAGATTCGAAAGAACGTTTTGAAGTGGAAAGCATTGGCGAGTTCATTGCAAAACTGGTTCAGAACTAGCTAGGCAAAGCTCGGTGTATTTCTGAAAAAAAATTCCTTGTACAAGTCCTCTTGTGGAAAATGTTATTAGGGACTGATTAATAATTTCCATGACTAATAATTTTTAAAAGTCAGAAATTTGTGTCTTCACTATTAAAATAATTATACATAATACTTTAAATTATACAAACAAAACACTTATTTATAGACGCCGCTATTGTCCAATTCCCACCCGATTTGGCTATACTAAAATATGAATATAGTTTGAATACTTTAGATTAATTGTATTCTTCTTCGTAAGGAGATGTATATATGAGTTTATAAATAGTGTTTTACAAGTACATAGATATAGGAATTAAATAGGAGAATATCTCCTAATTATATAAGGATTGTCAACTATATGAAAAAAGAAAATAAATCTCTTTAATTTGTTAGATTAACTCACGTCAACATGGCTTCTTCTCCTAGCCACTAGTTTACTTTGTCAAAGTTGGTGTCTACAATAATTGATATTTTTTAGGATTTTCCAAGAATGTTTACAATAATTATGTCTTGAAAGCTGTGCTTGCTGACTTTGTCAAAGTTGGTGTACATCTCTCGAGTTCTCTACATTTCACTAGATTTTTCTAGATACAAATGACTCAAATGAGCATTAACTTTTAACAAAAACAAAAAAAATGCCAGCGCAATTATACACGAGGATTTTCAAGCGTACAATTAGCGAATCATTCAACTTGACAGAAGGACTAAATATAATTTAAGACAGGTACATGAGTTCAGAAAAGCAGAAAACAAGAGCACAACTGTTACTGGCTAGGCTGAGTTCAACTTTTAAATCTTCTTGCGAACGAACACCACCAAATAACGCACACTAGGAGCTCTTGGAAAGGAAAAACAAAAAGAAAAAGGAAAACCAAAACCAAAACCAGCTGCTGCTGCTATAACTACATTGTTTTGAGTTCAAAACCTTAAACCGGCGGGCAATGCTTCAAAGGGCCTCCACAGAGTCCGGTGTTGTTTGCATAGCTTTCAGGTCCAAATGATGTATTATTAAAGTCTGGGACTGGGCCAGACAGCTGATTGTTGGCCACACTAAATGTTTTAATCCTAGTAAGCTGGCCAAGTTCTGGAGGAATGATACCCGAGAACTTGTTGTTGTCAAGCTTAAGCACATTCAGATAGCTGCAATTGGAAAGCTTCATTGGGATTTGCCCTGTGAAGCTGTTAGATGAGAGATCAAGGGACGTAATGAACGTAATGATTTTATCGATATCAGTAGGAAGAGGTCCATTGAGCTGATTGCTTGAAAGATCTAACCCTGTTAGGCTTGTGCAATTTTCTACGCCTCGAGGAAACGAGCCCTTCAGTCCCAAATCCGAAAGCTTGATGTTTAAAACTTTGCTCTCATGAGGGTGCCAACACTCGATTCCCAGAAAGTTACAGATGAAACCTTCAGTGTTGTTGTTGAAATCCCAGGAAGAGTTTAAGTAACCTAAAGTGTCCTGAAGTGATGCTTTTATACTTTTTAAGCAGTTGATATCACTCTCAACACCAAAGCTGAAACCACAACTAAGCAGCAACCAGCAGAGGACACTGCCAATAAAAAGAGGAATACGATATGAGGAATGTGATTTTGGGTACGAGGAATACGATATGAGGAATGTAAAGAACACAGAAACCCTGTGAATTTGGTTAAAGGACACAGAAATCCTGTGAACACGGCTAATGGACATAGAAACCCTGTGAACACGGCTAAAGGACACAGAAACCCTGTGAACACGGCTAAAGAACACAGAAACCCTGTGAACACGGCTAAGGACACAGAAACCCTGTGAACACGGCTAAATGACACAGAAACCCTGTGAACACGGCTTAAGAACATAGAAACTTCTCTTCAATTCTCTTCTCCCCCTGAAGAGAAGGGATGTCGGAGTCAAGAAAGAGGCAAAATCTCCATGATAAATAGAAACAGATCATTTTTCACTCCCCCTCCCCCCCTTGAAGAGGAGGGGAGGAGAAAATTTGATATGAGAATTTAGAGACAACCGAGGATCGATTGCTCTGATACCATGCTAAAATATGAATATGGTTTTGAATATGTTAGGTTCTTCTTTTATTCTTCTCCATAAGGAGGTATATATAAGAGTTTACATGAGTGTTTTACAAGGAATTAGATATAGTAAAGGATTAGGAAAGTATCTCTAATTATACAATGATTTGACAACTATATAAAAATAGGAAAGTAAATCTCTTAATTAACCAAGGAAATAAATCTATAAAATAGAAAAGTAAATTCCTTAATTAATCAAGGAAATAAATCTCCTTGATTAATTAGGAGACTCACTTCAACAAACACATGCATTGAAAAAGCAAGAGTGGTTTATACGTCCAATAGTATATCCTGCCTCTCTTTGGAGGGTTTATGAAAGTGAGGGAAGGAGGTGAGCTCTTATGTTTGGAGGCTACCCCTTTTGTCAAAAGCTTGGGTATATCTGCTTATATTTTCTATTGAGAAACTTGATTATGTAAGGTTAAGTGATACTTTTGGGTATATCTGTTTTTTTTTTTTTTTTTGGGTGGTTTATATAAGACTTATTGTCAATGAGTGCATTTTTATACACTGCGTACACTGCTATTGCATTGTTTTGGGTTCTTTTCCAAAAAGTTGGGTTTGAACGTACACTAAGGGCCTGTTTGGGAGTGCTTTTGGAAAGGCCAAAAATACTTTCTGATAACTAAAAGCATTTCTGACAGCGTTTGACAGAAAAGTTTAGAAGCGCTTCTGAGTCATAGAAGCTCTTCCTGGAGAAGCACCTGCTATGTGCTTCTTTAGGAAGCACTCCCAAGTGCTTTTCCACAAAGCACTTTAATTTTTTATGAAAATTCAAGATTTTTATAGTAAAAGTGTTTTTATTAGAAGCGCTTATGAGCAGAAGTACTTTCTAGAGAAGCAGTCTCAAACGAGCCCTAAATGTCAGTGGTATGGTTGTAATATTCAAGTGATTTTAAGGCATCTTTTAATAGAATTTGGATAATGTAGGTTTTTTTTGGGGTTCTTTTCTAAAAAGTTGGATTTGGGCGTACAGTAAACGTCAGTGGCATGGCTGTAATATTTAAGTGATTTTAAGGCATGTTTTGTTGGTTCAGGCCTGTTGAATAGTCAACTGGCATGATATTTTTAATAGAATTTGGATAATGTAGGGCTTTTTTATAAATATTTTTAATAGAATTATACGTTTAAAAAAATTTCCTGTCTGTTTTTTTCTCTTTCAGTAAACAAATCCGATTGGTTTGATGAAAGTGAGAGAAGGAGAAGCTCATTAATCGGGTCATTTGAAGGAGAAGCATTGCATGATAATTTTTTCACTACTGTGATTGAGTGAAGATGAAGATAGCAAAACAGTAATATCCTCGTTTAGCACTAAATTTAACAATAGCAACGTCATTCTCGAACTTGAAGATGACTTGCACCTCTCCAGTGGGCCCCTACAGAGTCCAAAATTGATCACTCAACTCTGCGCTCCAATTGAAGCAGCCCCATAAACGAACTGTGAGACCGGCCCAGATAGAAGATTGTGGGCCACACTGAGTTTCTTAAGCCTAGGAAGCAGCCCAAGTTAATCGCATTGTCATCAAGCTTGAGTAGATTGAGCCACACACAGTTGGGAAGGTCTGGGATTTGGCCTGACAAGGTGTTGTTTGAGAAGTCAAGATATGCGATGTACGGAATGGTGTGACAGATGTCCGCAGGAAGAGGTCCCTGGAGATTGTTGCTCGAAAGATGCGTGATGCCTGTGTAGTTTGCTAAGCACTGAGAAATAAAAACAATTGGTTCCTATTCACTATTTGTGATTATGCAACGGAAGTTTAATTAAAATGGGTCAATGATTTTGTTATCTAAATTACGTTTAGTCAATAGTCAAATTTTGATTTTATGGATTTTGACTTTTCCGTTTAACATACATTTCAGTTTTGTTGTTGATTTTATACTTGTAAGGGAACTATACCACGTGGTGTGTGTTTTAGACTAAAAAAAATGCTAATTCATCCAACTCTGTATGTATAATTTGCAACGACAATGCTGCAGGTGTCCCCATTTTAATGATGAATCTAGCTTGTGAGTGTAAACCAACCACTTTGGAGGTGGCCCTACACGTGACACATGTAGCTAGCTATCAATGTCATAGAGAAAATGTTATTAGGGACTGATTAATAATTTCCAAGACTAATAATTTTTTAAAAGTCAGAAATTCGTGTCTTCACTATTAAAATAATTATACATAATACTTTAAATTATACAAACAAAACACTTATTTATAGACGCCGCCATTGTCCAAGTCTCACCTGACTTGGCTGCTAAAATATGAATATAGTTTGAATACTTTTAGGTTAATTGTATTCTTCTTCGTAAGGAGATGTATATATGAGTTTACAAATAATGCTTTACAAGTAAATAGATACATGAATTAAATAGGAGAATATCTCCTAATTATACAAGGATTGTCAACTATATGGAAAAAGAAAATAAATCTCTTTGATTTGTTAGGTTAACTCATGTCAACATTGGCTTCTTCTCCTAGCCACTAATTTACAAGATTTTTTTTAGGATTTTCTAAGAATGCCTACAACAATTATATCTTGAAAGCTGTGCTTGCCGATTTTGTCAAAGTTGGTGTTCATCTCTCGAGTTCTCTACATTTCTGTAGATTTTTCTAGATACAAATGACTCAAATGAGCATTAACTTTTAATAAAAAAACAAAAAAAATGCCAGCGCAATTTATACACGAGGATTTTCTAGCGTACAATTAGTGAATCAGTCAACTTGATAGAAGGACTAAATATAATTTAAGACAGGTAAATGAGTTCAGAAAAGCAGAAAACAAGAGCACAACTGTTACTGGCTAGGCTGAGTTCAACTTTTAAATCTTCGTGCGAACACCACCAAATAACGGACACTAGGAGCTCTTGGAAGGAAAAAACAAAAAAAAATGGAAAACCAAAACCAAAACCAGCTGCTGCTGCTATAACTACATTGTTTGAGCTCAAAACCTTAACAAAACTAATTGGCTTCTTTGCAGACCTCTGGCACTGCTTCAGAGGCGCCCCACAAAGTCCAGGATTGTTTGCGTAAGAGTCCACTGTAATTGATGCACTATTACTAAAGTTTGGGACTGGGCCAGACAGCTGATTGTTGGCCACAGTAAATGTTTTAATCCTACCAAGCTGGCCAAGTTGTAGAGGAATGGTACCCGAGAACTTGTTGTTGTCAAGCTTAAGCACATTCAGATTGCTGCAATTGGAAAGCTTTATTGGGATTGGCCCTGTGAAGCTGTACATTAGATGAGAGATCAAGGGACGTAATGTACCCAATGATTCTATCGATATCATCAGGAAGAGGTCCATTGAGCTGGTTGCTTGAAAGATCTAACCCTGTTAGGCTTGTGCAATTTGCTACGCCTTGAGGAAACGAGCCTGATGCAGGAGCATATGGGTGGATCAAGATAGATATTTACTATTTAATTAGTTATTTCATGATATATTGTTATTTCTTTGCTGTTTGCTGTTTACTTGATATTGATGACTTCACATACTTTCACCATAGTTGTTGCTAGCACAGGGGATGCCTAGATTGATGGGTCCTTCTGAGTGCCTAGGTTGTCACTAGTAATCTTCTAGGACTGCAGGTACTCTGTGGCATACTCTGTGTGTTCTCTTGATTGTTGAGTTCTTGTGTCCTGTTTGTTTAGTTAAATTTACCCCTCGTCACCTAAGTACCATTTTCACCTAGATTTCGGTGCTCGTGTGTGTGGTTGGTGACCTATGTCCGGATCCCGATCCCCATCAATTAGTATCAGAGCTACGGCTCAAGATCTGCTTTCTCGGGGAGGTTTTTGGATGGAGGGTCGTGTTGACAACTACAACGACATGGAGGAAATTAGGAGGATGCTACGGCAACTTACGGAACGCATTGCTCGCATCGAAGCTCAAACCCAGATAGGTAAGAGTTCTGACGGGGAGGGATGCGTGAACCCTTATCTGAACCGAGTAGCTCGCATCGACACTCTAAGCCGTGGGAGTCTCGACGGGGAGTACGAGGGAGATAGCTCTTTTCATTATTGCACTCCGTTGTGTGAGTCAAGTGAAGAGGGGCACGGTTATTCTCATTGTGTCTTTGAAGGTATAAATGGATTTGGTAATTTTGGTGCATCTTGTTATTCATCAAAGTTATTAAATTTGGATTTACCTCCAATATTTGATCCTTGCAACTGTGAAAATTGCAATGAAAATTGTTTGGGTGTTCAAAGCAATTTTGATAAGCAATTTATTGATCCGAACAATGAAGAGATGAGAATTGAGAAAACTCTTGAAGATATTATTGATTTTATGGGCATTAATATTTTCACTTGGAAGGTTGCCAAAAATTTGGTTGATTTTGTCAATCGATTGAAGATTCTAGAGAGGAACATTTGCATTCCTAGAAGGAGTAAGAAGAAGCCGAGAATAACGAAATATTCCAAATATCTTTTTATTTGGAAAGGAAGGTTTCAATTGGATGCTAAAAGATCCAAAATTAATATGAAGCAATTGAAGATTCTATTCGGATTTTCCTCAATCAAAGGCTTAAATTCGAGGACGAATTCTTTCCAACCAAGGGAGTCTGATGCAGGAGCATATGGGTGGATCAAGATAGATATTTACTATTTAATTAGTTATTTCATGATATATTGTTATTTCTTATTTAGGTAGTTTTAGAATATCTTTTATTATTTATGTGTGATTTTATAATTAATTAGTTTACTTTTGGACCAAGTAGCCTTGGTGCCCAAGTCTTGTAAAGCCTATAAATAAGGCTAATGGAATAGGTGTAGGGGAGTTTATGTTGATGATTAATGAAATAGTTTATTTGTGGCATGGATTTACTACGGTATATGTGAGTTTACACTAGCCCTAGATTTCGGTGCTCGTGTGTGTGGTTGGTGACCTATGTCCGGATCCCGATCCCCATCAGAGCCCTTCAGTCCCAAATCCGAAAGCTGGATGTTTAAAACTTTGCTCTCATGAGGGTGCCAACACTCGATTCCCAGAAAGTTACAGATGAAACCTTCAGTGTTGTTGCTGAAATCCCAGGAAGAGTTTAAGTAACCTAAAGTGTCCTGAAGTGATGCTTTTATACTTTTTAAGCAGTTGATATCACTCTCAACACCAAAGCTGAAACCACAACTAAGCAGCAACCAGAGGACACCGCCAATAAAAATGCCAGCATCTTGTTTTCTCAACAACTTATGCATCAAGAAAGCCATCAAAATGGGATAATGGGCTAAAAGAAAAGAAAAGAAAAAGTGCTACTTAGTTCATGAAGCCAAAGATCAGAGCTAAAGATAGTAGTGAAGACCTGAAATTCTCGGGCTTTTTATAACCACTGGACATGAAAGAACCCTGATAAGGGTTTGAACAATCAACGACACAAATTAATGAAAGTGAGGGAAGGAGACGGGCTCAATCGGGCCATTTGGAGGCCACTCCTTTCGTCGAAAGCTTAGGGACGACTTGGACTGTTGACTATTGACTACCCACAGTGTTCGTCTGCCCTTTATTTCCTTTTCTTTTCTTCTTTGCCGACCTTCATGAGATGACTCAGCCTCAACTTAGAATTTTACTTGCTCAAACATGGGAAAAACAGAGAGGATAAAATACAACTCAAACTACTAAAAAATCGACAATTATAAATGAAGAAGAAAAAGAAACCCAATTAATCATCTTGGTGTCTCGTGATATATATACACACGATGAGCATGCAAATTATTAATCTTGTTTTCTTGTGATATATATACACACAATGAGAGCATGTCTCTCTTGCTCCTCACATGATTAAAAGACATACTCAACCAGTGTACATCACAAGTAGGTACAAAAAAGTTTTTCTTCATAAGCCCGTTTTGAGAAAGAAAAAAAAAGCAATATAAAGCAAGCATAAGGGGTGCCACCATAAGAAATTAAGGGGCGTAGCGCAACTACACAAACTAATTAAAAGGCTCCCACGGTCAACACATGCATTCAAAAAGCAAGAGTGGTTTATAAGTCCAATAGTATATCCTGCCTCTCTTTGGAGGGTTTATGAAAGTGAGGGAAGGAGGTGAGCGCTTCTGTTTGGAGGCTACCCCTTTTGTCAAAAGCTTGGGTATATCTGCTTATATTTTCTATTGACAAAGAGATGGTAAAAAAACTTGATTATGTAAGGTTAAGCGATACTTTTAGTAGGAAAATGGGGCTCAAAGCTCAAGCTGATGAGAAAGGGATCGTGAGGCGAGAAGAAATAGCAAATTGTGTGAGAGAAATATTGGAAGGGGAGAGAGGGAAGGAGATTCGAAAAAACGCTTCGAAGTGGAAAGAATTGGCCAAGAATGCAGTGGATGAAGGTGGAAGTTCTGATAAAAACATTGATGAGTTCATTGCAAAACTGGTTCAAAACTACTAGCTTTAGCTTTTAGTAGAGTTACCTCTGTGAAAAATAAAAGTGAGGCTGTGTAATGTAAGGGATAATTATATGTGTTTGTTTTGCAGTTTATGAACTTGTCCAAAATAATTGGAACTTTCATTATCTGACCAGAAAGATGTACAATCTTTTTCAATGGGGACCGCAGCTACGACCACTGAAACCGACAAAATTGAAACTAATAATTTTTGTAAGTTGATTGGTTGGTTTATTTAGTTAGGGTCCGTCAGAAGCGTAAAAAGGTTCATTATTTATTTTAGACCTTGAGCAAGACCAATCATGTGCATAACTTTCAAGGGGACAATTGTGCTTTCATACCTTTTTTTTTTCTTTTTTTTTTTGTGGTTTTGGAAAGAGAATATTTCATTCAAGACAAACACAAGCCATGTGCATAATTTTCGAAGATACAATTGTGCTTTCATACTTTTTTTTTTTTTTTGGTTTGTTTTGGAAAGAGAATATTTCGTTCAAAACAAACACAAGCCAACGATTACAAAACAAGCCAAGACCCACACAATTTTGGCCAATACCAACACTACAAGAAAAGTCATCTTTTATGGCGCACGTTTTACAGTGTGCATTAAATGCGCGCCTTAAAAAATAGGGTATTCATGGCGTGCTTTTGAGTGGGGACAACAGCCTCTACTGAGGCACTAGCCAGGTCCAATGTTACCTTTTTTTCTTTGGAAACTTGGTCCAGTGTTACCTACAAAACGGACGGACGCTAAAAATTACGTAAGTTGATTGGTTGGTTTATTTATTGCCCTTCAATTTTCACTATAAATCCTGCAGATGTGGTTGGCTTCTGCACACAGAAATGGATAAGAGAGAAAAAGCTCACTGTCTGGTTTTGTTCTATCCAGTCCAAGGCCACATTAATCCCATGCTCCAATTCTCCAAGCGTTTAGAGCAAAAAGGACTCAAAGTCACATTGGTTACTACCCGCTCTGTTCACAAGGCCATGCATGGAGGAGCAGGAGAACAATCACCATCATCACTCTTTTCCATTGCACTGGAGACCATTTCTGATGGCTATGATGGAGGAGGGGCTTCCCAAGCAGAGAGCATCGAGGCCTACTTGGACTGTTTTCGGAAAATAGGCTCACAGTGTTTGGCTGAGCTCATTGAGAAACTTTCTGGCTCAGGTCACCCTGCTGATTGTCTAGTTTATGATCCATGTATGTCTTGGGCTCTTGATGTGGCCAAAAGGGTTGGGATTGCTGCGGCTGCTTTCTTCACTGTATCTTGTACTGTTACCAACATATTCTCTCTTGTCCATAATGGGCTGCTCAAACTTCCTCTCAATCTTGACTCTGAGATTTTGCTACCTGGTTTGCCACCTCTTCAACCTTCAGACGCCCCATCTTTCATCTATGTTCCTGAATCTTACCCTGCTTTCCTTAAACTGGCTGTCGATCAGTTCTCTAATCTTGACAAAGCTGATTGGGTCTTCTGCAACACATTTTATGAGCTGGAACAAGAGGTAAACAAAATTGATGAGGTGGTTTTCAGTTCCAAATTGTTGAGAGTGTTTCTCCCACATTGAAATGTTATTGGACCTAGTTTGGGTTTATAAGGAGTTGGGCTACTCCCCCTATTGCCAAATGGTTTTTGGGTGGAACCTCAACTTCCTTCATGCTATCAGAGCAAGGCTTCACATGTTGGGCCCAACGGCCACACGTGCTCTCACGTCACCCAATATGTGTTGCACCAAATTTGTTCACCAAATTAATTATCTGTCACTATATGCATCACTACCTTACAAAATTAACCCAATATGTGTTGCACCAAATTTGTTCACCAAATTAATTATTTGTCACTATATGCATCACTACCTTACAAAATTAACGGCTATGACGATCTTATGATTTATGTGAAGTCTCCAAATATTAATGACTTCTTTGACCTTAATTATGATTTAACTTTTGAGATTAAACTTGCTGTTTTATTTTTCTCTCCTTTTACACATAGGTGGTAGAATATTGGATGACAAAGTTTTGGCCATTAAGGACGATTGGACCAACCATACCATCTATGTACCTGGATAAGCGTCATGAAGACAACAAGGAATATGGTCTAAGCCTCTTAAAGCTAAACAGTGATGCCTGCATGAAATGGTTAAATGCAAAGCCAAAAGGGTCTGTAGCATACATGTCGTTCGGCAGTATGGCAGAACATGGAGAAGAGCAAATGGAGGAACTGGGTTTGGGTTTGAGGAGAAGCAAACGCTATTTCTTGTGGGTGGTGAGGGCATCAGAATTAGTTAAGCTGCCAAAAGGGTTTGCAGAGGAGACATCTGAGAAGGGTTTGGTGGTTTCATGGTGCCCTCAATTGGAAGTTTTGGCACATGAGGCTGTAGGATGCTTTGTCACACACTGTGGTTGGAACTCTACATTGGAGGCCTTGAGTTTAGGAGTTCCAATGGTGGCAGTGCCACAATGGGCTGACCAGAGCACCAATGCCAAGTTCATCATGGATGTGTGGAAAATAGGGCTTAAAGCTCTAGCTGATGAGAAAGGGATAGTGAGAGGAGAAGAAATAGCACATTGTGTGAGAGAAATATTGGACGGGGAGAGAGGGAAGGAGATTCGAAAGAATGCTTCGAAGTGGAAAGCATTGGCCAAGAATGCAGTGGATGAAGGTGGAAGTTCTGATAAAAACATTGATGAGTTCATTGCAGAACTGGTTCAGCGCTAGGCTAGGCGAAGCACTGGTGTATTTCTGAAAAATTGCCTAGCTATAGCACAAGTCCTCTGGTGGAAAATAAAACTGACAAGGCTATACTCAAATTGTGTAATTTGATGCATCTCTATAATTTATTTCTGCTTTTTTTTTTGGGTCTGGAATTCATGTTGTATTCAAGAAACCCCAAAACAGGGAATAGAGATACAAACAGAAGGCTAAAGCCACAAGGAGCCAACAGAAAGCAAGAAACAAATAACAAAACAGGGCTAGACATGGCTAGATTCCATCGGAGCCTAGAACAAACAGTCCCTACCCTGCAAACTAGCTACTAAGAGATAATAAAACTAAACAGCAGCTGCCTCATGAGGTGGACAAGGCAAACCATCAGAAGTTAGAACCCCAACGAGAGACAATGGTGGTCTGTCGACCCAACTTTGCAGTTCCATAGCTCTGTTACCTATCGACGCCGCTGCATGAGCTGCACGATTTGCACTCCTAGGCACCCAGGACCAGGTCACCTCTTCGAAGCTCGAAACCACATCATGGATTTCGTCAATAAGAGGAAGGATAGCCCAGGAGTTGTTACCATGAATACCATTAATGCAGTCTATTAACACCTTGCAATCTGCCTCCATGATGACTCTCAGATAACCCTTGTTTCTGGCAAGGTGTAAAGCACATAGAGCAGCAGCCGCTTCTGCTGTATTCAATTGGGATTTTAAAAGACAATTTTGGGATAAATAAGTCTTGTGGTATTCAATTAAGACTTTTAAGTAATCTAAAAAGTCTTGTGATATTCCATTAAGACTATTAGGATTTTTTAAAGAGGGTTACCAAATCTGGTGGTATTCAATCAAGACTTTAAACAAGTAACAAAAAGTCTTATGGTATTCAAAGACTTGCTAATTTTGAAGGATTTTTTTAAAATGCAGAATGTGTGAGATTTTTTAGTGAGAGATATAAATACCAAACCCTATCTCAAATCCCACCTTAACCCATCAGATTTTCACGTGGGACTTTTTTTATTCATTCCTTCCTCACCTTGACCTCCACCAAGCAGTTGTGCACTGGCCTGACGACTCGACCACCAATACCTAGAGCTACTTGCTGTTGGGTGTAAGCAACGACCTTCCTTCAATTCCCCATCTCCCTCTCTGTTGCATAATAAAATCTTGTGAATTCTCCATCACCTTCAACCCCCCAATTCACCAATAGAAATCTCAACTTTGTTCTTTGATTTTTCTGTGGTGGGGCAGTGGGGCGGTGGGCTGACAAGAAAGAAGACATGGAGGGGCACATAGAAAGTTTTTCTGTTTGTTTTCCTCTGATTCTAATTCACCAATAAAAATCTCAACCTTATTCGATGACAGCTTTTACGACCAGATACTGATTTATCAATATAATTATATCTGCTTCATTAACTAGCTAGGGCAGGATACCGGTGCAATGGAATAGGATGGCATGGTATTAATGTTTCTTCCATCTCTTTCGTTATCTATGGTGGTTGGAAATGGCTTTCTACAATTGCACAACCACTTGATCAATATACATGTCAAATCTAATCTAATCAAAAACCTTGAAATGCAGGATGATTTTTTTAGATTGTCAATAACAGTTGTTAAAACTAAAACAAAAATGCATAATTTGGGTTTTGAAAATTCTCCTAAAGCTAGCAGATTGGTGCTGGTGCAGAACTAATTGCACCATTAATGAGCTCTGTTGCCAATGTGTATATTGGAAGATCTTTGGTAAGTTTTAAGGTACATCCAGTGAGTTACAGACTGCCTATAGGGTGTTTGATGAAATGCCTGTGAGAAATGTGGTGTCGTGTACATCCATTATTTCAGGGTTTGCACAAGAGTGGCAGGTTGATGTGTGTGTGCAGTTTTTCAGTGAGATAAGGCATTCTTCAAAACCCAATGATTTTACGTATGCAAGTATTATGAGTGCTTGCACAGGCAGTGGAGCTCTTGGGCATGGCAGAAGTGCTCTTTGCCAGCAATTAGTGATAGGGTTGTCATCTCAATAAACAAGTCTCTACCCACAGTCACAAACTAAGCCATAAAAGTTGAAGTCAACTAAAGAAATCTTTAAGAGCACTTTAAAAGTATTGCTTAGTTGTTTCATAATCAAGAATGCCCTTCATAAATTTAAGCAAATTGGACCCTGAAAAGGCACCAGAGACAAAACCTAGTTAATGAAAGAACTACAACTAGGTAATGTATCTTGGAAGGCAAAGATAATTTATCTTGGGGATGTCAAAGATGCGCAGTACATATTCAAAGTGTGGTTCTACCCATGTGCAATTGGCAAACCTGTATGTTAGCGTGGGATGCTGGGACGGGGCAGCAAGAGTTCAGAAGTTGATGAAATAATATTATTTCCTATTTTTGTATTGAGAAAGACATACAAACAATGAAATAATATTAACTTTTAATTTTTA